GCTCTCTCCTTCCTCTTCCAGGAACCCATTGTGACATTCTCCCTGAAAGAGATCCAGTCCACACGCACCCAACGGCCGTCGGCTGGATCCAGCTACCCCTACGTAGAGATCATGCTGGGGGGCTTGATGTCCCAAAGGATCACGCAGCTGCAGCTGGAGCAGGTAAAGCAGGAAAATGCCTTTCCTGATACAGCATAATTCCCCTGTGGCCAGTGGTGACTGGTACCCTTGGAACTGCCAGGGTGGAAGGCAGGGAGTCCAGGCAGTAGGCGGAACAACAGGTGGAGTCAATTATTTCTGGATTTGTCCCTATCCTCCTCCGTTCTGCAACACTGATGCCAAGGAATAATAATAATAATAATAATTTATTTATACCTTGCCCATCTGGCTGGGTTTCCCCAGCCACTCTGGGCGGCTTCCAACAGGATATTAAAATACAATAGTCTATTAAACATTAAAAGCTTCCCTAAAAACGGCTGCCTTCAGATGTCTTCTAAAAGTCTGGTAGTTGTTTTTCTTTTTGACATCTGGTGGGAGGGTGTTCCACAGGGTGGGTGCCACTACTGAGAAGGCCATCTGCCTGGTTCCCTGTAGCTTCACTTCTCGCAGTGAGGGAACCGCCAGAATGCCCTCAGCACTGGACCTCACTGTCCGGGCAGAACGATGGGGGTGGAGACGCTCCTTCAGGTATACTGGAAGAAGCTGACAAGGAGATAGTCAAGGAGGTAGTCAAGTGGAGCTTAGCTGAGGGAAGCTGAGCTAGGGGGGCCTCGTGTACCAAAATGTATTGGCCCCATTGGCCCTAAGAGATAAGCCTGCACTGCATTCGTCCTAATGAGCCAGCCTCATGGCATGAGCCCAGCGAGATGCACTTAGACAGGCCGGAGGAGTTAGGGGCAACACCTGAAGTTAGATCTGGGGTGACTATGAGAATTCCACCTTGGGCAAAACATCCTAGGAATTTTGAGGGAAACTGGAGCTGATTTGGTGAGACTCGTAGCATTTCTCAAGGGAGAGAGGGTGGGATCCATACATCCCCCGAAGGTGTTACGGCAAAGCAGATTTTACCCCACAGCAGATTTTCAGGTTCCTCCTTTGAAATCCTGTGGAAAGTCCAGGAAAAAGCGAATAGTTGGGAGAATTCTCACCTTGCATCTCCCTTTGTGGATCTGTCGCCTTTAAATTCAGACTGGCAAGCTCATTTGTACAAAAATCTGATTGGGAAAATATTTGAGTAGGGTGTTTAGTTTTGTTCTTTGCATCCAGAAAGCATTTGTTCATTTGGATTTTATTTAGACTCCTGGCCTAAATAAAAAATCATGGCACATTACAGTGCTGCGCACCAGAGCTTCTTGATCTACATTTTCAGAATCTAGCATAAGCTTTATAATTTATTATGCACATTTAGACTTTGTTGGAAATATGATGCAACTCTGCAAATATGCTTAACTCACATCATTCTTCTCCCCTCCCCTCTCTTTCTGTCTCCTCTGTCTTCTCCTGTCTCCTTCCACTGGCTCTGTGAAGCTTAACCTTCAGATGGTAGGTAGCATGCAATTGGGATGATAAAACTTATTTTTTAAAAATACCAGTGTATTGCATTTTCATGTGTTCAAAGCACTCTGCACAAATTATTTTGTAATATTTACAACAGCCCTGCAAGGTAGGTAAATATATGCAAAAGATGAGATTCAAACGGGTGACTCGTAACTTCATCTGTTAGCCACCACAATTGCACCATGCAAAGTTGGTATTCAGATCTCGAAAAAGCCATACACAAGTTTGCTGAGCTCAGGTTGTTCCTTGGCCTTTTAAAGCTTGGGAGTAGTGAATGTCATTGGCAAGGAGATATCAGGATATCAGGGCAGAGACATAAGGGGAGGGCAAGGCCATGGAAGGCTTTGAAAAAGTAAAGATGAGGATCTGAAATGACTTTGTGCTTAAATTTCTCCAAAAAAGATTGGATGGGCAGGATATGGTCAACGACACCCTCTAACGCCTTCCTTATCATTTCAGCGTTATTAGAGTCTCTTAACAGAAAGATCAACTTGAATCTGTCTGGTTCCCCCATTTTAAATTTTGTAAACAGGCAGTTTCACTGTGCAGAGGTTTGATAACGCCAACAGATAGTGATGGCTAAGAAGGCGTCTTGTGCAAACCTTTAGTATCTATGCATCTCATAATTAGTATTGTTTTGGTTTCTATGGATCTATTGTTGAATTTCTTAGAATGAACTGCCTTGCTACCTTAGCGAGACCATGTTAGGGGACCAAAAAACCAAAAGGAATTAACGGGGAGCTTTTGCTGGATCTGACACCCATCTAATTCCTTCTAAGCCCTGCTTAGTGGAGCTAGTAGCTTTTACGGCAGCGTCTCAACTAACGTCAAATCACCATCCACCTTCTTGCTTTCCTTTCCTCTCCAGGGCCTGGAGCTTTGCCGAGTAATTGCCACCCACATGGAGAGCTTGCTGCACGCCCGCGAAAAGCGACTCACGCTCCCTCCGAGCGAGATCACGTTGTTGTGAATGGACTGGCCACACACCTCTTCCTCTCTCTCTCTCATTCTCTCTCTCAGGGCTGGCCCAATACATTTTGGTACCTGAGGCAAGCCACAAAGTGGTGCTTCCCCCCAGGAAGAAGGTGTGAGTGAATAAGGGTGTGTGTGTGTAAAGATCTATGTTGGGAACGAGGGTGGGAGACCAGCAGCACCTCCTATTCACCAAGAGGTCGCGATAGAGGTGGCATTGGGGAGGGCTGCCGAGGAGGAGGCAGATATGGCCTGGGAAAATAACTGGTGAATACCAATTAATCCTGAACTCCCACATGCAAAAACTGCAAAAGGAAAATGGATGTCTGCCTGAATTCAAAAAGCATGCGGGCCTTGACTCACTCTCTAGCCAAAAACCCTTTCAGCAGAGTTTAAAACAGAAATACATGCAGTGTTTGTAATGTGTGGGAAATATAGGTTGTTAGACCTTTAAAATGTCCCAGTATTAAGTTTGCTTCTAGGAGTGAATAGACCACAAACTTAAGTAAGCTAAAATGCTTTATTTACAGTAATGAGCGGTCTCACTCAATGCTACAGCAGAAACAACACAGATAAAAACTTCATGAGTACAAAAATATGAAAAGTATCTTCAAACATGGAGTCTGGGCTTAGGAGCTCCAGCCTTATGCATCTGGTCAGTTATATGGTTCAAAAATAAGAGAGAGATAAAGGAAGAGGAAACAACCTTTATTTTATCCCTTGCCATAGGACCAATCTGAAACTTCTTTAGCATTTAATAACTCTGTGATCCTTAACACATTTCTTACTATTATGCACAATTTATGCAGATTTGGCTGCATAAATCTCCTACAAACATCTGGTGTGTGTGTGTGTGTGTGTGTATGCCAGGTTTGGGAAGACTGCACTCATCTATCCCTATAGGCTGCTATATATGAGAAGTCCTACTAGACCAGGAGTTGAAGCCTGAGCCCAGATTCTCCTAATAAGAAATTTGAGGTGGGTGGATAGAACCTATGGAAGAAATACTGAGGTGGACCAGATCAAGATGCCATCTGGCCTAGCACTCACTTTGCAACAGCTGTCAGCCAGATGTGTCTGGAAGCTTCCGAGCAAAGCATGATGATGAATCATCCACTGTTTGTCCCCAGCCTCTGTCTGTTTACGTGCACAAGCTGTTTGCAAAGTTATTCACAAGTTCTGTTGTTTTTTTAACATACTTTGGTCCGGTTTCAAGAATATGGCTTTTTCTGCAACTTCGCTCTTTATTTTTTATAAAAGCAACCAGTCTTCAGAAGAACTGGTATTGTGCTATTGGGGGAGAGAGAGAAAGAGAGAGAGAAGAAACAATAGCTCACACCCTTCCTGCTATATTTTGTAATATTTTTGCACTCAAAATTGCGCTTTTTTGAGGGGGTTATATTTGTTCACAATTTGAGCAAAATTAAAAGTGTCATTTTATGTCATACGTTCATGGGTACCTGGTCTTTTGCTCTTTACCTTTGAGGACAACAAAATCTCATTAGTCAACATTCCAAACACACAGGCCAACAAGGGTGTGTGCCTGCCCCAGCATAAATGCAAAATAGTTGTTGAAGATGCAATTCTACACAAGAGAGGTGGGAAACGTTTTTCAGACTTAGGGCCGCAATCCCTAGGAGTGTTCCTTTCCTCTTATTTGGTAATCCATCTCGCTCAAAAACATCTTGGAATACATGTTGACCTAACAGAGGAGCATGCTAGGAAAAAACACAGGAGCTTGTAAACACTTCCAAGCACCCAAACATAGATGGGACATGTAATTATATCAGGATGACTGCATGGCTTATTCAACGGTTGGATCTTTTTGTGCCTCTGCCAGCATTTGGTGGCAGATGTTAGACAATCACTCTTATTTATTGCACCATCCGTGCCTCCAGGCCCTTACAATCTAGATATCATCAGAGAAGAAGAGTGTCTGTCGCAGATTTTGGGGGGCCCTTGGGCAAGCCACCTTCTATGAACCACATCCCGCCTCAGTGAGACAAACTCCTCACTGCCATTATCTGCCTCTCCTCTTCCTCATTTCTACCACCCATTGGCTTGCCAGGCAGAAAGCTGTTGAGCAAGCAGGCAACCTTTAGGTCCAGTCGTGGCCGACTCTGGGGTTGCGGCGCTCATCACGCTTTATTGGCTGAGGGAGCAGGGATACAGCTTCCGGGTCATGTGGCCAGCATGACTAAGCCGCTTCTGGCAAACCAGAGCAGCGCACGGAAATGCCGTTTACCTTCCCGTCGGCGTGGTACCTATTTATCTACTTGCACGTTGACGTGCTTTCGAACTGCTAGGTTGGCAGGAGCTGGGACTGAGCAATGGGAGCTCACCCCGTCGCAAGGATTCGAACCGCTGACCTTCTGATTGGCAAGCCCTAGGCTCTGTGGTTTAACCCACAGCGCCACCCGTGTTCCTCAGGCAATGGTAGAACTCCGAAAATTTCTGAAGTGTTGATTTGTTGGTGAATTTTTAAAAAACAATAGCTCAAAAGCAAAAAAAAAAAAAAAAGGTCAGCAGTTTTGACAAAAACACCCCCACCTGCAGGCAGTGGAATTTCCTGCACCTCCTCGCGACCCCTCATTTCCTGGGCCAAAAGGTAGGCAATTAAACAGGTGGGTTGCAATGATGCTGATGCGGAGGAGATCCAAGAGGCTTTTGGCAGTGAGCATTCTCCTGGCATGTGGGGCCTTGGTAGATGCCCGATGATTGTGGTGGTCCTTGATACCAACCCTAGAAGCAACAGGGGAAGGAGAAGGAAACAGAGGTGAAGATTAGCAAGTTGTTGCAATCATTTTGGCTACACATAGTTAAACTTAGTTATAATGCAGGGATGGGGAGCCTGTGGGGCCCTCCAGATGTTACTGGACTCAATCTCCCATCAACCAGTGCTCAGCAATGGTGGCAGATGGGTCCCTTTAAAAAACACCCCCCCCTAAAACCTAATGGGGAAAGTTGTGTTGTCTATTTAAAGGGATTGGAAGACAGCAAGAGAAGTGGCATCATGCAGGCATTTTTCCATATGGAGACAAAAAAATCCATTCCAATAACCTACCAAGTTCCATAAAGGAGGTGACTGGTCCCTTCATTAATTGACTTGGAAAAGGAGTAGGAAGGAAAGGAGATTGGCAGGGTTCAGTAAAGGCCTCCAGGAAGACATTAATGAGCCACTTATACCTGGTGCTTCCTGTTTTAAGGCCAAGGGCTCCCAAAGCGTAGGAAGAAAGTAGGTCAGAGAGCTTTGGCTTATTTGCTGGCTGACTTTCTATCCTCTTGCCTCACACAGATTTTGCTGAACGAAGTGCAGCTTGGGCACAAGACAACTAACACCCCAATGCCATGATTTGCCTCCATGGGAATGTACTGTGGTGCATCCTCCAAAATGGTTGATCTCTCCAGCTGCTTCCCCCTCCCCTTCTTCTAATCTCCTTCCTCTCGTCTGCATGTTTTTGCCCCAGAAAGACAGCATGGGAAGAGGGCTAAAAAAAGGGTGGGAGAAGCCATGGCTGAAGGCAGTTAAAAGGAAAGCATGGCTTTCCAGGTTGTGATTTGGTAGTTCTAGCATTTTTTATTTTAGCTTTAGAATTGATAACAGCTGCTCAATTTTGGGTAAGGATTGCCTCCAGGTGAGCAGTAAGAGGAGCTCTGCAAATTTGCCTCTGCCCTCCCCCCACTTTCAAAGTTACTAACACCGCTACATATGGGCAGGCAGGAAATAAGTTTGGCTAATAACTTGCAGGTTTGTGGAATAATAAAGACTTTTTCTTTATTATTCTGAATCAGAATTTTAAAAACCTCTGTCTTTGGTGTGTATCATAAACTCGGGCATTCGCTATACCAAGAGGCTGAGGAAAGCAGATTATTCCATGATGCACCAGTGCTGGCCCTGGTTGTGTCAAGGGGAAGCAGAGGCTCAAGGGAGATATTCTGGGGAAAGCAATTATCCCATGATGCATCAGTGCTGGCCCTGGTTGTGTCAAGGGGAAGCAGAGGCTCAAGGGAGATATTCTGAGGAAAGCCGATTATCCCATGATGCATCAGTGCTGGCCCTGGTTGTGTAAGGGGAAGCAGAGGCTCAAGGGAGATATTCTGAGGAGAGATTATCCCATGATGCACCAGTGCTGGCCCTGGTTGTGTCAAGGGGAAGCAGAGGCTCAAGGGAGATATTCTGAGGAAAGCCGATTATCCCATGATGCATCAGTGCTGGCCCTGGTTATGTCAAGGGGAAGCAGAGGCTCAAGGGAGATATTCTGAGGAGAGGAGATTATCCCATGATGCACCAGTGCTGGCCCTGGTTGTGTCAAGGGGAAGCAGAGGCTCAAGGGAGATATTCTGAGGAGAGGAGATTATCCCATGATGCATCAGTGCTGGCCCTGGTTGTGTCAAGGGGAAGCAGAGGCTCAAGGGAGATATTCTGAGGAAAGCCGATTATCCCATGATGCATCAGTGCTGGCCCTGGTTGTGTCAAGGGGAAGCAGAGGCTCAAGGGAGATATTCTGAGGAAAGCCAAATTTTCCCATGATGCATCAGTGCTGGCCCTGGTTGTGTCAATCAGTGGTTCCTTTGATGAACCCTGCAGTGTAATCTTTCTCCTTCAAAAATTACCACAGCAAATTTTAGAGTGAGACCCTTAAAAACCTCACGCTTCTGCTGTGATAGGAAATTTCACCATTGTCTGAGGCGCTTCATTAGCCACTCGCCCGCCGATCCTTGAAAGCGCCTGTTTCATTTCTGCAAATCAGCGGGCAGGCTTGTCATTTTGAGCCCGCCTCATAGGGTCAGCATGGCCAATCCGCGCTGAGGTAGGCGGTGAAGCAAGGAGGGGGAGCCTGTTGAGTTGGCCCCGCCCCCTACAGTACCCAACGCAGGCGTCTATGCATAAACCCCACCCTACGCTCGCGTACGTCATTGCGATTGACGGCGTGGAAATGGCGCTTCATGCGCGCGTGCACTAAGGAGCATGCGCAGAGAACGTTAAAGGCCCTTAAGGAGTCCTTCATATAGAGGTAGAAAAACAAGAGTTTTACACGCACAGCTTTCACTTCCGGTTTCCATTCCAACGCCGTAATATAAAGGACGTGGTTACATAACGGATAATGAGAGCGCCACTCCACCCTTCCACGTTCCAATCTCTATAGTGCCTTTTATAGCTACGCACTTGGCTCAGCGCATGCGCCATTAACTGCCGGAAGTGTGTATTTTATATACGCCTATGACTTTCTTTTTTTAAAAAAAAATTTTTTACTGCGTCTGTATAATATTAGATTGACCTCTCTTTTTTTATCCTTGTGAGAGAATCGAAAACACCCAACGGCCTGTTCCGATGTTCACCGGAAGCAGCCGCTCTACCTTTCCCCATCTCTATGGCGATGAAAAAACAGGGGGCGGTGGAGGAGGAGTTGGAAAGAGCGCCGGCATGCGGCGCGTGCGCAGAAGCGGAGTCGCCGTGGCGAGGACGCTCTTTAGCTGCAAAACGAGAAGCCGCTCGGCTCTTGGAGAGCGGGGGCGGGGCGGGGCTTGGCTTCGGCGCGCCTGCGCAGTGCGCGCCTCTCCGAAGCGTGCGCCTGCGCAGTGGCCGACTCTTGCGCCGTGAGGAGGAGGAGGAGGATGCCCCTGAAGTTATTTATAATGTCGGGCCGGCCGCTGGTGACGTAGCGAGGAGTTCGGGCAGCGGCGGCGGAGGAAGCGGCGGCAGCGGCGACGCCTCTTCCCTTCCTGGTCTCCCTCCGTCCGCCCGTCCTTCCTCCTCCGCCCCCGGGCCTCCGCTGCCATGGAGGGAGCCGGGCCGCCTCTGCCGCTGACGGAGCCGGACTCGGGCGGCGCGTGCTGAGGGGCCGGACTCGGGCGCGGTGAGCCGGGGCAGTTGGTTCCGGGGCGGCGCTTTCCGTCAAAGGCGAGACCGGGGGAGGGGGGAAGCGGCCTCTCTCTCCCCCCTCGTGCCCCTCTGAGGGTGAGGCGGAGAGGCCAAGAGGTTCGGGGGCGCCCGCCCTTGTCAAGCGGGATAGGGGCTCCTGGAGGGGCCGGAATGCGGCCCTGAGGCTGCAAAAGGGCTTCCCAGCTCTCTGTGATAAGTTCGGATAAGGCGGAGATGCAGCGCCAATAGGTTCAGGGGCGGAGAAAAGGTGCCACTGGGTTCTGGCCCGGCCCTGTTAAGTGGGTAACTACCTCTGCCTTTTCTCTCGCCTTCCTCCGAGGCAGTGATAAGCCGAGAGGTCAATAGGTTTGGGGGCGAGCCGCGGTCAGAGGCTTTTTCCTTCCTTCCTCTCTTGCTCTTTCTGCCTGTTTTGGTTGGGATAGTGTGGTGAGCATCAAGGCAAACATTTGGGGGCGGAGAGGCTTTCTTCCCCCTCCCCATGCCCTGTTACCTGGGAGGACACCATGGCTCCCTCTTCCCTTCCCTTTAGGAGCCTGGTGGGTGCTGGGGGTTTTTTGGGGGGGGTGAGGCAGGTTGGACTTGGCTGACTTCCTGCTGCCCATAGAAGGGGGCCTTGTGCCTCTTGGTGCTTTCTAAGAGGGGTCACAGAGATCAATAGGCTTGTAGTGAGGCCGAGACTTTTATTTTTAGCCCCTGCTTATATAATGGGCCTCCTGGCTTACCCGCCCCCTCCCCGTTTTTTTTCAGGTCGTGTGATTGGCTTTGAGCAGTGGGTTTGGGGATTGAGGAAACAGGCTAGGCCTAGTTATAGAGGGGTCCTCATGTCTCCTCCTGAGTGGGAAGCCAAGAGCGATACTCAATGTAGGAAAGAAGGTCTTTCTTTTCAAACTATGACTAATTAGGTATTGGTACACCCCCCACCCCCTTCTCTTCCTGCTGGAGAGGATAATGGATCCAGGTGCATAAAAATGGGCTCTCCTTCCTGTCTCTTTCCCCTTCTTCTGAGAGGGTAACAAAGAGGGAAAGAAGTCTAGAGACAGGCAACATTTCCTCTGCTGCCTTCCAACCTCTAGCTATATGAGAATTTTCTGGACCTTCTGCCCTTTTGCTTGGGAGACAGACAGCAATAGGTATGGGGGTCAAAGAAGGCACTTATCCCCTCAGTACCATACCTCTGTTTCTGGGGAGTGCTACTCCCCACCCAGTAGGTAGGGGGGCAACGAGCAGCAGAAAAGCTGTAGAGGAAGGTTCTGGAAGGGGGGAGTGCCTTATTAGCCTCTCCTTTATGATGTGTGGGCCTGGTTCCTTTTCACCTGGAAGGAGTAGGTGATGAACAAGGCTCAGGGGTGGAAGGGGGATGCTTTCACCATTTCCACCTGTTAACACAGGTCACCTGCTGGCCTCTCCTGTATTTCTAGTTGATGAGTGAGTTAGGGAGGAGGCAATATGTATAGAGGGAACAGATAATGCAGCTGAGTGAACTTCTGGTCTGTTGCTTGACCCTGTGCTTCTCCCTGCCTTTAATTACAGACACTTTTCCTACTCTTATCCAGGTCAGGCTTGGCCTGGAATGTTTCCAAGGATACAGCTTGGGGGGGGGGCGGGTTTGACTCAGGTGGTTTGCATGCCTGGGAAAGGGGCTTCCCAGCTATTGGTGTGGTGGGCTCAGATAATGTATCTTTTTTCTTTTATCTGCACTTTTCCTCCTTGCTCTTTGCTTACAGCATTTTCTCCTCCCACAGATGGAGTGTGCTTAATTGTCCCGGCACTCACCTGCGAAACAAGATTGGTACCACTGGACGAGGAGACCTTGCATTCATCTGTCCGTTCCGTATCAGTACTGGAATGAAACTGAATCTGTAACATTCTTCTCATTCTCGCAAGGATTTGTTTCCCCTTGCCCCTCCTGCAGGGACTTGGGGCAGGGTGTCTCAGAAGGGTGGAGTGCCTTACCCGTCACGAAGGGCACCTGGTTTGGTTTGCTCTCCACTTGTGGAAGCTCAGCTGTAGGATTTCTTGGTTTTTCCTCTGGGAGATTATTCCACTAGGATAGACAATGCCTTGAACGGGGACAGCGCTTTCCCACTCACCAGCCCTACAAACCGTTCACCGGGGAGTTCAGCAGAGGTGGCGAAGGCGACTGGGGAACTCACCATGGCTGGGAGTGGCTACACAGACCTGCGAGAGAAGCTCAAATCCATGATGCCTTACCGGGACAATTACAAGGGGGGCGGCACTCGAGACCCTGCCGAGTCTCCCTATGGAGGCGCAGGTGGAGCTGCAGAGCGCAAGCGGAAGTACCACGAGGATTCCGAGTCGGAGCCCAGCGACTGCGAGGAGCACCAGCGGGAGGAGGAGGAAGAGGCCCAGAAAGTCAAAAGCGGCATCCGGCAGCTCCGCCTCTTCACCCCTGAGGAATGCGCCAAGATCGAAGCTCGCATTGACGACGTGGTCTCCAGGGCTGAGAAGGGCCTTTATAAAGAGCACACGGTGGATAGGGCCCCTCTCCGGAACAAGTACTTCTTTGGGGAGGGTTATACGTACGGGTCTCAGCTGCAGAGGCGAGGTCCCGGTCAGGAACGGCTGTACCCACGTGGGGAAGTGGATTCCATTCCGGAGTGGGTCCATGACCTCGTCATCCGCAAGCTGGTGGAGCAAAGGGTCATCCCTGAGGGCTTTGTGAACAGTGCAGTGATCAACGACTACCAGCCTGGGGGCTGCATAGTCTCCCATGTGGACCCCATCCACATCTTTGAGAGGCCTATTGTCTCGGTGTCGTTCTTCAGTGACTCTGCACTCTGCTTTGGCTGCAAGTTCCAGTTCAAGCCCATCAGGGTCTCCGAGCCGGTCTTCTTCCTGCCTGTGAGAAGAGGGAGTGTCACTGTGCTCAGGTAAGGAAACTTGCAGGAGGCCTTTCCGAGTCATTGGCCGGTTTCAGTTCCTGAATTGATAGCTGCACATCCAGACACATTTGTGTATTGTGTGTTGATTTTGTATAGTATGTTCCAAGTGCTAAATGTTTTGTGATCCTTGCTTGTCTTTTACAGTTGCCATTATTCCTGCCTTACAATTTCTGGAACAGAACCTAAAAGAGCAGGTGACTTGTGTGTTGGGTCTGCAGGTGACCTTACAAAGCAACTTAAGTGATTCCCACTGACTAGCAGCAGCTTTCAAACCTGTCTTCTAGTCAGCCCTAAGATGGTTTGAAATCTCATCCAGGACTCCTTACTGATAAGATCTGTAATGATAGGACAAGCATCTGAGTTTGTTGCGCATTATTAATCTTCTCTGCTATATGCAGATGCAAGGACTTTGGGGTTCTAAGACACATCCTCAGCTTGTGATCAGCAAGAGCAAACAGCACAGCCAGCACAAACAGTGCAGAATGCAACCTGCAATGTGCAGGGGGTCCTCAGCATAAAAACTTGATGCAAGAATGCTTCCCAAGGAACTATTGAGGCAAGGTTCATAAGAGCTAGGAGGAGCTTAGCTGGAGAGCACATCAGCCGTAATAGCTTGTGATAAATGCCACCCAGTTTCAGGGGTTCTGCCAAAACAAGCCTCCGTGGTTGGAGAAACTGCTTCTCTGCAAGCATTAACCAGGGATTGGGGGGAACCCCTGGCCCTCCAGGTTTGGCTGGACTACAAGTCCCATCAACCATGACCAGACCATGCCATCCTGTAGTTAATGGGAGTTGGTGTCCAGCCATATTTGAAGGGCCACAGGTTCCTCACCCCTGCTAATTAATGTGAACTAAAGCAGGGCAGGTGGCTTTCCTTATGATGAAGAGTCTCCCTCTCATCCCAGAGAGAAGGAACTCCAGAGATGGGTAATGACTGTGTGCTGGAAAAGATAGAAGGCTTCGCTTCAGACTCCTGACAACAGGAGTCAACACAAAAGAAGCAGCAAGTCTGATTGGAAGGAGTGCTTTTTCCACTCTGCCTTCCACTCCAGCTAGGGCACTCTCAAGCCAGAGTTGGATGGCTTGCACCTTGTCTGGGAATTTTCTTTGACTCACTGGGGGCGCCTCTGCCCCCCTCACAGCTTGAGAAAAACGTGTTAGTGGAGCAGAGTAATTGTATCTCCCATGCAAACTGGTTTGAGAGGTCTCTGGCTGCAGTTGATTCTCCGTAGTAGTATCATTCTGAAAGTAAAAACCCAATACAAGCAGTAGCAATCCTCCTAGGAGTGAGTTAAGCCCTGCATGCAAAACCAGCAGTTGACCTTTCCTGCCGGGAATTGGGCAGGGAGCCCTTGCTGACTGTACTCCTGAATTGCCGCTGGTGGTAGTGTTTTGTCATTTCTTGTCCACTGTCCTGATACCATGCAATAAGGAAAGCTTTCATAAGGGGAAAGCTATCTCAAGCATGCTAACCCTTTAGGGCTGAACTAAGTATTAGCGTACCCATTTTTCTACAGGTGTTTCCATGGGTTTCTCCAAGCCCGTTTTCTGTTGGCTGTAGAGCCAAGACTGTTACTTTGCAATATGCAGTGCTGATGTTTTCTGTAGCGTTCTCCTCTTCAATTCCTGGCTCTGCTTTTTTCTCTGAAACTGTGTTTACAGTGTAAATACTTGCAGGTAACACTAGACAGCATTCCTTGTGGCGTTAGTGCCTGTGGAAGAGTAACTTCTCCAGGAGCAGAGTGTGAAAGGGCGCGAAATGCTGGGTCAGGATAAGCCTGTGACAAACTGTATTTATAGCCGTGTAAGCCAAAGCCAGCTCTCCGCCAGGATGAGTCAAACATCCCTAATGGTTCCGCGTTGCCATGGCAAAAGGAGGGCAACCAACATTTTTTGGTCTGAGGAGTGAACACTTCTGCCAGTCTGAAAGGCTGCTTGAGGGGGTAACGTGATCCCCTGCTTACATTTGTAAAGCGATCTCCGCATGAGCCAGGAAGGAAAATCTCTCCTTCACATAAACACGGCCTTGCACAATAGTCCAGGTGCATCAATAATAAAGCAGCGTAAGGACTAAGCATTATCTCTAAAAGTGCGCACATTAACCAAGGCTCACGCAGAATTACATGTGGCAGGAACTTCCAGGAAGGGGCTGAGCAGCTGTGCACTCTGCAGCTGAAACGAAACTCCGCCTGATGCAGTTTGATAGCAAGGAAGTGCTAAACACGGGAAATAATTTTGTCAGTCTAACGAAAGGTCTGTTGCAAAATCTGGATGGCTCCCACCATGGTGTATGCAGTAAGAATTGTTGGCCCTACCCATTTTTAAGGGAGATACAATTTATGCATAATAATGGAGGCAGCCTGCAGCTTACACTGGTTGCTAAGCCTGCTGAAGCCACCCGCTTCTGCTATGGAGTTGCCATGTGTGACTAGCAAGACTAACAGGGCTCTTGGCATGCACCTGCCTCCCTGGCTGTTTCAGATAGCTGAAGACAGTGGCATCCCTTCAAAAAGATGACTATCTCTTCTTACCTTGCTCATCTGTGGTAATGTTGCAGGGATGCACCCCAAAAGGGGAAATTGGTACCCTAAGACTTGTCCCAGGTGAGCAGGCAAGCGGCTTTTCAGAAGCCTTGCTTTGTACTCATGAATTCTTTGCTTTAAGGGGGCAGTGGCTTTTCCTTTTGTCCGAAGCGTTCTGCTCCTGATTCTGATAGAGAACCAGCTGCCCTGTTAGTTTTGCTTTGTGGCAACTATGTCAAATGTAAACCTAATTCATTAAGAAAGGAATGGCTGAAAGAACTTCACCTGTGCTTCAGAGTTGCCAAGTTGGAGGGAAGGAGTGGAATGGAATTCCAGATTATTTGACCATATGAGCTTTTCACGGATGGATGGGTGAAGTCCCCTCTGCATAGAGCAGCATGGGTCTACTGCAGCCTACAGTGTCTGAGTCAGTTCCTCACGGACAGAAACAGCATTTCCACAAGTCTTTTCTAGTAGCAGAAATCTTCTAGAATTTCAGTAAGCCTACGGGTGGGTCACCGTCCAGCACCTTCACTCTCCTGTTCCAGCTTGCCTGGTTTCCAAGAAAAGAAGGCAGCATTAAGCAACTAGCACACTTTAAACGCAGAAATTACTTCAGCAGCTACTAAGCTTTTGGGCATTAACTATAAAAGGGCACCTTTCCATGGGAGGTTGGCCTGAGCAGAAAGTCTGCACTGCCAGTGCAGCGCCCAGCACTCCTAGATCTGCTTGGCACTGCCAGAATGGACCAGGCCAGTGTTCCAGTCACATGGGCCAGCTGGGAATAAAAACCTGGTCAAGAAGGGAGGGAGTAGTTCTAAATACGGCTGCTGCTGTCGAGAGGGCTGGCAGGGAGAACCTAGCCAAATAGAAGCAGCATGCTTGTTATGGCAACATGAGTCTTAATATCGCTTGGTCAGTGGCTTTTGCTGGTAGCGGAGAGGTTGATGCAACAGTTTGCTTTCTGTTTACAGGAGTTATGTGGGCAGGCACTTACGCTTTGCTCACCATCCTTGTTCTTGAGTGTCTTAAGAATGCAGCTTCCTAATTCTTGCCTCCTGATTGTTCAGCACATGACTGCTGTACCGCCCTAGCTGATATTTATATGCTTTTTGCATGGGAGGAGAGAATCTGTAAGTGCCGCTTCAAATGTTAACGAAGAAATGCAGGGAATGGGAAGCGCAGTCCGTTGTGATTCCTGTTCTCTACAACCTGGTTGAGAGGGGGGAGTCACTTTGAACTCTCTTGAGAGGCCTTAAAACAAGTTGATGAGATGCCCTTTCACAGAGACAGTGTCTCCTCCCAGAAGACTTACCTGCTCCTAGTGTAAATGATCAGGGTTTTGCGGCGCTATTGGGAATTTCTACTCCTGTGAAATAGTGTGCAACTAGTTAGGTATGATGCTGTACATAGTTTTTGTAACACTGAACAAGCAACATCCCACCCCCCCACCCCCATTTTGGCAATGATTGCTTTCAGGCATGGGCTGATGGCCAACTGGGGGAGCCCACCGTACCTGACAGAAATTTTTGAAATCCGTAGCTGCAATGAAGGTGTGTCTTACTGAAATAGAACAACCTAAGTCTATTTTCTGTCATATCTGAATTCGGTCGCTTTTGTACAGTGACTTTTGGAACTCAGACGTCTCTGCAAATCCATCCATGAAAGCCAATGCACATATTGTTGCTGTGCTGCTAGGAAACTTCATAGCAAAGTTATTGAAATGGTCAGTTTGTGGGGGTTGGGTTATGCAGGCAAGGTTTGAGGTGTATTAACAATACAAACAAACTGGTTTTAATAGTCAAGGGTTTCTCAGTGAACTCTGGGAATGGTAGTCCTGTGAGGATGTTAAGAAACTAGTCTACTAATACCCAGGATACTCCTGAAACCACTCTAGATAAACTGGGCTTAGCTTAGTGGAGAAGACAAGCCTACCTGGACCCTGAGATCGTCATTTGAGGCCCATCTCTGAGTGTGTCTCATTTTCCAAGGCAAGGCAGATTCAGGCAGGTCCTTTTTCGTGGTGGCACTCAGTTTGCAGAATGCTGTTGCCCAGGACTCTCATTTGTATCAGGGCTACTGATACTGGGATCTTCACAAACACGTGGCTTCTGTTCGTGGCTAATGATAATGGTAGCCAGGGAATAGAAGGCATTGCTTCAGTATTTCCTGACTGCGAGCAGTTCATTGTAGCCTTCTGCAAAGGATCTTGCTCCCAGTTCCTCTGAACAGGAGAAATAGTGCTTTGAGTGCCATTAAGATTAACAGAATTACCCAGTAGTCATGGGTCTGGAATCAGGGAAGTGCTGGATATTGAAATCTTGGCTGAGCCCTCATGGTCTTTGCAGCTATGTTGTAATGCAGATCCTGTCAAGGATCTCAAATTGAACCAAAATGTTTCTCTCTCCCCACCCCCTTTCCCTATAAGATCTTGGGCACAGTTGTCAGAATATAGTTACTGAGTTTGCTCACACTCCCACCCAAACAAGCTAGATTTTGTCCTGTGTTCTCCTTTCCCCCGCATCCACCTTCCTGCACCAGCATTCTACCTCTTCAGGTAGATGCTTACCTGAGCCACTGGTCTCTGCAGCCCGAAAAAGAACAAGGTAGACTCTTGGGGAGGGAAGGTGGGAAGATTCTTACATTGGGAATTTGAAGACTCCAGCAAAGCTGGCCCACGCTACTGCATTTGATCTGTGGTTATGGGTGGCAGCAAGGGTTTGGAGTAGGTGGTGGAACCATGCAAGCAATGGTCTCTGTGGCAAATATTTTTATATGGCTTTCTCAAGAGCAGGGGTGGGGAAGCTGTGGCCTTCCTGATGTTGTTGAGCTCTGACTCTCATCATTCCCTGCTGTTGGCCACATTAGCTACAGCTGTTGGGAGTTGGTGACCCCTGCTCTAGAGGATCTCAGGGCAGGATGGTGGTCCCAGGTAATATGCAATCAATCCCTGATATCTCGAGATAGGACTGGAAATGTTCTCTGTCTGAAATCCTGGAGAGCCACCGCTAGTTAGCAATACTGAGCTACCTGGGCCAATGGTCTGTCTCTGTATAAGGCAGCTTCCCACATGAACCTGAGAAAATGGCCTTGTCTGCTGTATTGATGGTGAGCCAGTGTGGCATAATGGGTAGAGTGCCCGCTTAGGACCTGGGAGACCAGGGTTCAAATCCCCATTCTCAAAGCTCGTTGGGTGAGCTTGGGCCAGTCCCTGTCTTAAAATACCTCACAGGGTTGTTGTTTGTATAAGCTGTGGAGGGGGAAAGCATTGTGCGCCACCCTGAGCTCCTTAGGAAAAATGGTGGAATATAAGTGAAATAAATTTAAACGGTGGGCAGAGATGTTATGAAGGGCTGTAAGTGTTGGCTGAAGTTATAGACAGAGCTGTTTGATCACCAGTATGGCTGAACTGGGGCTGGAGAGAAGCAGGAACAGATACAGCCTTTTAAAACTGAAGTTGGCTTGGTTTGAAATCCCTCTTGGATCTTTCTCTTCCACAGTGGTTACGCAGCTGATGAAATTACACACTGCATTCGACCACAGGATATCAAGGAGAGGAGAGCAGTCATCATCCTTAGGAAGTAAGTGGTGAAGCATCTTTGAAGAGAATGTAATTTGTATATGTTTCTAAAGGGGAAAACATCCTTTCACATTCTTGCTGCTGCCAATACTTTGAGCAGCTAAAACTGGTAGCAGCTAACGCAGATGATTCTGTCCTGGCTAAGCAAAATCACTCTCGAACTTTGTGAGACATAGCTGTTTCCTTGCTCCCATTTATGAGGCCCATGGTTTGTTTGTTTTTAAAATGTTAAGCCGGGCCTCGTAAACAAGACGCAGGGAGGAACCTGGGGCACCTCTCGATGACCCAGTAAATCCTGGGAAACCATAACTCTGTTGGGAGGCCGAGGAAGTGTTTTCTTAGCATTCTCAAAACATCCTGCCCCTTCCTAGCACTTAACTGGTAAAACACATTGTGGTCTGTTTTGAAGGCATGCGGCCAGGAAAAGTGGAAAGAATGGACTAGCCCCACTAAATCTTCCTTAAAGTAACAGCGCTTCCTGCCCTTTCCATTGGCTCGCACACATACACCGGTAGGAAGCAGAGGCTTGGCTTTGCAAATACAACTCAGAACAGCAGGCTTGGGGGGGCCACTAGGGGCGCATTGGAAGATGGCTGACAATACCATCTCTCCGACCCACACAGGGTAATTAAGAGGCTGTTATGGGAGTAGGCAGCCTCCCTTGTTGCCCCAAGGAAATGGGGAACACTGCCCTTGCCTGCTGTGCCCATAAATCACCCCCTAATTCGAAAGAAGGGGGTGAGGGCACTAGGCAGAATGCCCCCGTGTGGACCTCAGCTCTCCTGGACGCTGTCTCTGATCGCGCACTAGCTGCAGCAATTTGGAATAATTAATTACAAAAGAAGCAAATGCACATATTTCAAGTGAAGAAGGGGAGTGAAGTCTGCTAATTTAAGTGACCTCTGCAAAAGAAGATGACGAGTTGGAGAAACAGGAATATTTTACGATGAAGATACACCAAAGGCTGGGTATGTTGACAACGGGACTGAATGGGGGGGACGACCTTTTTTACTTTCCTTCTATGTGATTTACAAGAACCCCTCCTCATTAGAATCGTCGGTTGAACTGACCCAAGCAGGATGATTAAGGTCTGTGTGGAGATAAACTTTAACCAAAAGTATGCTTTATGGAGATCGAGAAGCAATAAGAGCTTTTGGAATGGCGCAGCAATTAATTCGGAGTCGCCATCTTGCCAAAGGATTTATAGCCGGGAGGAGGAACGGACTTGTTTTCAGACTGCATTGCTGGTGGATCTCCTCAGAGGTTTTGAGAAAGGGGGCAGATTGGTGAAGATTAATGACGCTAAGATTGTTTTGATGTATGGAAGTGATGTTATATGGAAAACGTCTAGATATGGCTACTGGATTAAAAAAAAATAAAAATCCACGCAGGATTACAAACTGTTCTAACCAGCTTGTGGAGACTATCAGAGGTCACAAAGAGAAAGGTAAAATATATGAAAATAACAACAAGAGATGTGGAAAAACAGTAAGAAAGGACTGGATAGTACTGTGAACATCATAAGGTTAGATTTGTGGACATTAAAACAGCAGCAAGAAGTTGATTGGATCCCCTTCGGAACTTGAAATATGGGTACCCCCAACAAAAATTTAAAATTCGGCTGTGTAATTTGGAATTTATGTAATTTGGTTTGATTTGATGTGATTGGTCGGTTAATAAAATTATTCTTAAAAAATAAATAAAAAATAACAGAACAGCAGGCTTAAGAGGCCTGAGCAGTTGTGTGCTCGATGTGGTTTTGGTGTGAGAGAGTTTGAACCCCCCTGACGTGTGGTGGGCTCACACAATTGGCTCAAAGCTGAAGGTAATCGCTGCACAATACAAATTTGGAGCTTCTCGCGGTGCATTCTACACTACAGAGCAGGATCCCCAAATTTAGATCTCCAGGTGTTTTTGGACTACAGTTCCCATCATCCCTGACTCACTGGTCCTGCTAGCTAGGGATGTTGGGAGTTGTAGTCTAAAAGCAGCTGGAGACCCAAGTTTGGGAAACACTGCTATAGAGTAATGGTTGGCAACCTGCAGTCTTCCAGGTGTTGTTGAACTCCAGTTCCATTAGCTCCAGCCAGCATGGCCTGCGGTCAGGGATTGATGGGAGTTGTGATCCAGTAACATCTGGAGGGCCCAGGTACAGTGTGTGCGGCTTTCCTTATAGAATCATAGAATTGTAGAGTTGGAAAGGAACCCCGAGGGTCATCTAGGCAAACCCCCTGCAATGCAGGAATCTCAACTTGATCATACATGACAGATGGCCATCCAGCACCTGCTTTAAAAAGGAAGGAGAGTCCACCACCTCTTGTAGGAGTCTGTTCCGCTGTCAGAAAGATCTTCCTGATGTTTAGTCGGAATCTCCTTTATTGTATCTTGAAGCCATTGGTTTGGATCCTAGCCTCCGTAGCAGGAGAAGACAAGCTTGCTCTATCTTCCATGTGACAGCCCTTTAGATAATTGAAGATGGCTATCTTACTCCTCAATGGGACGCGGGTGGCGCTGTGGTCTAAACCACTGAGCCTCTTGGGCTGGCTGATCAGAAGGTCGATGGTTCGAATCCCCGCGATGGGGTGAGCTCCTGTTGCTCGGTCCCTGCTCCTGCCAACCTAGCAGTTCGAAAGCACACCAAAAAGTGCAAGTAGATAAATAGGTACTGCTCTGGTGGGAAGGTAAACAGCGTTTCCATGCGCTGCTCTGGTTTCAGTGTTCCATTGCGCCAGAAGCGGCTTAGTCATGTTGGCCACATGACCTGGAAAAACAAATGCCGGCTCCTCAGCCTGTAAAGCGAGATGAGCACCGCAAACCCAGAGTTATCTGCGACTGGACTTAACTCTCAGGGGTCCATTACCTTTTACCATTTTATTTTACTCCTCTCAGTTTCCTCTTTACCAGGCTAAACATACCCAATTCCAACAACCATTCCTCATAAAGGCTTGGTTTCCAGACCCTTTCTTATCTTGGTCGCCCTCTCACAGGAGTAGATAACCCCATTGCTGCCTTGCAGGCTGGGTTTGCATCTCCACTCGAGAGAGTTGGAATTGTATCCATGATTTGTGGAATCCTTGGCAGGGAAATGGGAGAGTGTCAGGTTGCTAGTCTGCTAGTGGCCCTGGTTGTGAGCAATGTCTCCAGGAAAGTGCATCGGACAGGGAGCTCAGGGGCTCCAACCCTTGCAAAACATGGCGGCTAGGGTCAAACAATCCTCCGGCAGTGTTTGTAAGACTTTGGGGAAGGTTCCTTTACATGTCTCGCACTTTCACCTCTGCTAACTCAGTACTTGCTTGAGAACAGAAGTGCGTAATGAGGAAACTATCTTAACTCCGATTCTCTTTGAGTGGAATTTTCCTGAACAGCCTGGTAACCGGCGTGGTCATAAAAACTTCAAGGCAGTGGAAGCGTAGCAATATTTATGGATCCTTCCTGCATGCTCTGGGCTGCTATGGAGGGTGGCTGCAGAACAGCCTGGCGATCTCCGAGGCGGAGTTGGTGGAGCGACCAAGAAAGAAATTGGCTTTCAGCTTAAGAGCAGATGGAAAAACACGAGGCTGTAGCTCAGCTCCCAGCTAGTTTCCGGAGCAGGTTGCAAGATTATTTTACCCCTGTACTGTTAGTTTGGGACAACCTCTTGAGCTACTTAGAACTTTAAGGAATTTGTTTGCCTGATGAGAAATGGTACCTGGCAATGTGTTGAGGGGCAGGAATCATAGAATCATAGAGTTGGAAGAGACCACAAGGGCCATCGAGTCCAACCCCCTGCCAAGCAGGAAACACCATCAGAGCACTCCTGACATATGGTTGTCAAGCCTCTGCTTAAATTCTATCCTAGAAAGCAGGTAAGCAGAGCTCCACCTCTGGTTTCTGAGTCTTCATTAAATGCTGCGTGTAGACATTCAGATAACAGGATTTGGTCCAGCTGAAGTAGATTTGGTCAACTGACTGATCGAGAACTGGGCAAGTGTTGGTTTTATTTGAGCAGTTAAAAAGATTATCTTCATCAGACTTGATACTTATGCAAATTACTTAACAGTTTGGACAAGTAACTTCTAAGACATCTTTAGTTTTGAGAGAGTTTGGTAAGGTTGTTATAAACATCAACAAGTCTCTGGATGGTCCACCCCTTTTGGCTTTTCTCATGGAATTGCAATATCTCTGTTTAAAAATAATAAACATGAAATGCAAGCCAGAAGGAAGCAGAGCAGCAGCGAAATATGAAAACGCAAAACGTCTGTTTTGAAAAAGTAGTTATGCTACGTTGACAGCAGGCAAGCATCCTCTGGCACTGAGACTTCTTGGAATATTTGACAGGCCTCTTGACTGGTGTGCCAATCCTACAAGCTCGGGTGCTTTTTTCTTCTTATGGAAAGATTGCTTCACAAATGCTGGTTTCTGCTCCAGTGCCAAACGCTCTGCTTGGAATCATGCAGCGAGAGAGGCCAGCGGTCAGGGATGCTGGGAACTATAGTTCAGCAACATCTGGAGGGCCACAGGTCCCCCATCGCTGCCCTGCAACCTGCTACGGATAAAGGACATGGCTTCCTTTCTGCGATCCTTGGACCACCTGTCCCCTTCCAATTCCACTAGCCCATGTATCCATTTGGCACCTGCCAATTCAGTTCAGCATGTGGCTTCTAAGACAAATGGGCAGAAGAAGCAGGGTGGGCCATGCAGAAAGCTCTAGTCCCATTTGTAGCCCCAGGAGCAGCGTTGCCCTCTGAGTGCGTGTCTCAGGTCCCAGTCAAACTCGTGGTGCCAGAGGAGGGGTCCTGTGGGCAGGTGTAGCTGGGGAAATCCATAATTCTATCCTAGAAAGCAGCTTCTGCAGATCAATAAACAAACGGCTTCTGCACATGCATACCAAAGTTCGAGCTGAAAGCATACACACTGCTTTTTTCTGTCATGTGGGCTGTGGAAGTCTGCCATTCCTGGGGCATCTGGGGTTTCTTTCGGAAGAAAGCTGGGAAAATCCAACTAGAGTGTTCAACTGCATATATATCAGTGAACTGGTGTCAGATTCAATTTAGGTCAGCATTTCTGTAAATGTTAACTGACTATCATGCTAGGCGAGTGCTCTGGTTGGTGCCCAGTTAAGATACATATGAAATACGGATTTCGGGGAGGGGAGAGGCACTTTTAAGTTTCCTCTAGCAACAGATAGGGAGGCCTGACTTTTGCTCATCAGATCACATGTGTGGCATGTGGCCGCCTCCTCTGGCCTGCACCCCTGGGGCAAATGTTGAATGTTGGCACAGTGTCTCTTAACACAAATTGTGTCTCCTGTTCCAATGCATCCGGTAGAATTAGATGAGCACTACTTTTGTTTCTTAACCCTTCCAGGACCAGGCTAGACGCTCCCCGGCTGGAGACGAGATCCCTGAGTAGTTCTGTGCTGGTGCCAGGGTACGCCTCTGACCGCCTGTCAGGAAGCAACAGGGACCCCATCCTGAAGCCAAAGAGGTCCCATCGCAAAGCAGACCCAGACGCTGCTCACCGGTAAGTGAATCTGCAACGGGACAGGGCAGGAGGATGGCAGCTGCGCATCGTAAAGAGAGGCAGGAGAGCTGCTGAGTTGTGTGGTTCTGTGGAGTGAGGAAGGAGTGACCTCTTGCTTGGCTTCTGCTGGTTTTTGCACGGCTGGGAAAGTCCACTTCATAGCCCTGCGGGTGTCAGTCTTTGCACTCAAGTCCAAGTGCCACAATTAATGGAATTGTGCAGAAGCAGTGGCTGCTTCTGGTTGCAAAATGAGGCTGTGAGTGGAGAGGCAGGTATTGGCACAAAAGAGGCAAACCTATTACCTACACTCCTTCTGTGTGTGTGCTTTGCAGGTGGGGCTGTCTCTACCCTGGAAGTAAGGCTTAGATGCTTCCACAGAGACACCCATCCATAATTTAGGACCAGTGTGTGTGGATATAATTTGGCTTTGGAGTGGTGTTGAACTCTTCCCATGTGGTGCAGCCATGTCAACCGCTGTTTGCAATACAGCGTTTTGGGGTTAGGTCAAGGGTTCAATGAAGGGGAGAGCCCAAAATGTTACTGGAGGTGCACGACCTCCAGGTGTGCCTAAAGTATCTGTTTGGCTCTTCACATTGTTCATCTTCCCTTAGCCTTTGAGGTAGGGTAGACAATGAGCCCCAGTAAAAAGGTCATGGCATACTGTGCACCTTGTCACTTGGATGGGGGAACCTGTGGCCCTTTAAATGTTCCTCTGCTCCAACTCCCATCATTCCCATCCAGTTGGGCAGTGGTCGGGGATGTTGGGAGTTGGAGTCCAGCATCATGCAGAGAGCCACTGATCTCCCACCTCTGGTATAACTGTTCCAGTGAAAAGCAGCAGTTATGAGGTAGTGCTAGATATATAACCTAATTCCCAATGGCACCTTAGAGCAATGCTACAGTCGCCACAAGGGAATGTCTAGGCACCGTTTTCCCCCAGTGTTGTTGTCAATTTCGTTTCATACAACACACTAAAACATCAAATACAGTGGTACCTCGGGTTAAGTACTTAATTCGTTCCGGAAGTCCGTTCTTAACCTGAAACTGTTCTTAATCTGAAGCACCACTTTAGCTATTGGGGCCTCCCACTGCTACCACACGATTTCTGTTCTCATCCTGAAGCAAAGTTCTTAACCCGGGGTACTATTTCTGGGTTAGCGGAGTCTGTAACCTGAAGTGTATGTAACCCGAGGTACCACTGTAAAACAATTTGGAATAAAACAAATCGAAGCTTCAAGGAAAATCTTTTAGATCCTTCTCTAAGTGACGTTTTGCTTTCCCCAGTCGCCAGCCGGACACCCAGAGATCTCCACAAGGTCACAGTTGGACCGGCGCCAGTCGCAAAATGAGCCTGACTAATTTATAACACTGCCCCGAATCCTCTCATTGGTCTGTCTGTCTTTCTTTTCTCTCCTCAGACCTCGGATTCTAGAAATGGATAAAGAGGAGAACAGGCGCTCGGTCCTCTTGCCCAAGCACAGGAGGCGGAGCCATTTCAGCTCTGAGAACTATTGGCGGAAGTCTTACGAGTACACGGAGGACTTTGACGAGGAAGAGGAGGACGGCAGTCCAGCTCGGAAAGTGAAGATGAGGCGGCACTGAGGGATTCTGTTCTTTCACCCCCTACCCCTTCCAACAGAGATATTTGAGCTGATGAGACTGGCCTTCAGGCTGTGAAATCGTATCTTCCCCCACCCCTCCTCCCTCCCACCCCCCTTGGCTATTTCTCATCTAGCTTCAAGGTTGTATTCTCCCTTGCCCCCACCCCTTTTACGCTGAAGAATGGATCTGGAATGGATCTGGCTTTTTTTCCTTTTTCCTTAAAGAGAGGCATCAGTGCTGACTAGGTTGTATCTGCAGCCACCTGCCCTCTTCCCCCCTGCTCCCCCACCCCCGGGCAGTCGACCGCGCCCCTCGAAAGCGTGGAGGAGCAGCTTGTCTTTAAAGGGGCGGGGAGAAAGCTTATGTTGTTCTTTGAGGTGTTTGGGCTGGAGTGGATTTTGAAGATGCCAAAAAGAAAAAAAAGTGGTGCATTGAGTTTGCCGAAGGAGTTGAGAATATTCGTTTATGCTCTTGGCGCTGCTGCTTCTTGAAAACGTTACAAATACAGCGTTTCTCCTTCCCCACCCCAATCCTCACACTACCAGCCGCGTGGTGAAATGCTCTCTGTATCGCCACCCTGCTCCGCACCACACCAAAGGGCTCCTGATTTCTGAAGCCAACGGCCATGTGAATTTATTTTCCTCGCTGTCATTTCAAAAGCCGCCTCCCTCCAGCAACTGGAAATCTAAAGCTTTGCGAACACCTCTTCTTCTTATTATTTTGGGGGTTTTTTTGGTGACACCGGATGACAAAGCGTTTAGGACGTGTTGCACTTTAGTGTCAGGGTTTATCGCCCCCTCCCTTGAAATGCCATATAATTCCCCCCCCCCTTCCCCAAAACCCTTACTTGCTTGGGCTAGCAAGCACCTGTGTTTTCTGCGCTGCTAATGAAAAAAAAAAAGGATACAGTCGTGTTTTCTCTTTCTGTGAAGGATGCACAGTGGTTCCACATTGGGGCTGCTGCTTGAGGGCTCATTGAGGGGCGGGAGGGGGCAACTCTTGGAGGGGGAGGAGCTGCTTGGCTGGAAACCTCAGATTCTGCCGAATCCCTCACACTAACAGCATACGGCCCATACCTAGCATTTTCTATATAAACATAGTTATTTTGAAGACATTTACCCTCTTTGTTTCGATTGAGGCTTTCCTTCTCCCCACCCTCCTGGAAAACCAGACTTTCCATCTCTCTTGACACTTGAAAAAGATGCTTCTGTGGCGGTTGTCCATTCTTAAAGGTAGATGGCCCCGGGCAAACACTCACCGTCAGGAATCCAGACTGGGCGGGAGCTGCGTCTGTGTGAGGCAGCCCTCCTCCCTTGGTTCTCAACATGGGCAGTCTCCCAGTGACGTGGGTCTTGGGATCAGTGAAGCAGGATGTTTAGGCTGCCCCATGCAGAAGGCGAGAATAGTGGGTGAATTGGCATCCTTTTCTGCTTCTTCAGTGACTTCAGGCGATGGGCTCCACTGGCCCCTGGTCTTGCACCAAAAGCATCTTGCTAAAGGCATGTCAAGACCTCATGTTTGGAGCTGCCAGCTGGCCTCTTAACTTGCTTCATGCTTCTTTCCTGCTTGAGCCAAGCCCAGAAAAGCACGTCCTGTTGCCCCCAAAGAGTTCAGCTTTTAAATGTTAGGTCTTCTCCCCAATGGCTGTAACCTCTCTCTCTCTCTCTCTCTCTCTCTCTCTCTCTCTCTCTCTCTCTCTCTCTCCCCCTCTCTCTCTGCTTCCTGCTTTGTCCCAGCCTGGAAGAGTTTTCAGCGTTCAGGAACCAGGTCAGAACCTGGGTTCAGATCACCTAAGAATCGCCCTTATTTTTTTAAATCACACACGAGAAGCCCAGCTTTCTGAACCAAAAATCTGTGGTTCAAACATCCACCCTTAAGTATTCTGAACTTCATTTGTTCTTCTCAACTCTCATACCTGAGGAATTCTTTCTCTCTCCCCCTCCCACCCCCCGCCAACCAGGTTGCACGTGCCTTTTTGCTATGATCTATATACCTCATAACCATCAAATTACCTTATGCTTTTGACGGGCGAGGAGGTTTAGACCCCAAACCCCCAGACGCTCATCGCCTCCTGTGCTTTATTCAACAGGGGCTGATGCTCACCTCCTCTAGAGCTTGCTCCGCTGGGATGGGCCAACCCACCATATCGCTACAACACGTAATATAATTATTATTTTTAATAATTTGTCTTCCCTCCTGACTTGCCACCAGAGTGGAACCTTTTTGCTTTCAAAGAGTTATGGCTTCATCATAACACCAGTTTTCCTTCAAAGTTCCTTTGGGGGTTTGGACTGCTCCCACTTGCTAGTTTGGTGGGGCAAATGTGTTGAGCTTGGCTGTTCCTTGCTCCTTCACCACAGGTGAGGAGGAAGCAGGATGCAGGTGAGACGCCAGATTGCCGAAAGTTCCCAAAATACCCTGGTCTGCAGTGTTAGGCTGTTTCTGTGACTGGCAGTGCAAGAAACATCAATGCTTTTTTTGCCCCTGTGAAGGGAGCACGTCATCCAAGAAAATGGATGTCGGTGCTTTGACTAATCTTAAGGACTGAAGGGCTTTAGTAGATTTGCTGCCTTATAACTCGGCATCCCTGTCAGTTTAGTGTATTTCCCACCAGAATTTGGGTTTTATTTTACTGCAGAGTTTTTTGTCGGCACCCCACACGACTAGTTTCGTTTGACCCGCTCCTCTTAAGTGTTAGAAAGCAGGTTTCCGTTTCCGCTTTGTGATTTGCCATAACCGAGATGATGTTGACTCGTGGGTGAGCATTCCAGATCTGATTTTTCTCCCGTAAAGAAGGCCTTTGCTTCTCTGCGCCCCTGCTGCATGGGCACTGAACCGACCATACGGTGAGCAAGGAGGCAAATGGGTGAATCTTCTTTTCTCTCCTTCCCCGCATCTCACCTTTGGTGCCAAGCACCTGGTAACCTTGGCAGAAAGGCATATAGGGGGAAATGACGCCGCAATAGTTCTGTTGGCACTTTCTGGTTCTTGCACCTGTTTTGGATTCCCCTGTCCATAAAAACCACTGAGGCCAGGGCACTTGCCAGCTGCCTCCCGAAAAGTTAGATTTTCCTGGAATGTCGCGAAGGAGGGTAAAAGCCAGGGGCTGGCAGGTACTTTCTCCCACTTCCCTACAGTTTGCTTTTCTCAGGCACCATCTGCTGTGGCGATTGACCCAGTTCTAAGGCGCAGTCTGATGGGATTAAACAAAAAACGAAAAAAGCTACCCCGTTTCTCACATTGAAAAATGTTGACGGATGCCTTGGTTCCTTTTTTTCTAATGCTGTTAGTGTGAGGTTTGATGGCAGCCAATCACTGGTAACAGGATCCAGCCACAGCCCCTCACCCAGGTTCAGGCTGCTTTTGAAATTTTGAGGTTTGGGTGGTTTGGGATCTGTTTCCAGTGATTAGCTGGGGTTTTTTTTTGTTTTGTTTTGTTTTAAAAAGCACCAAGTACGGATGTGCTGGAGCCTGAAGGCAAAACTTGCTCCAGAGCGTTCCTGGGTTTCTCTCCTCCTTGCACCTCCACCCCCCCCCTCTTCCCAAGCACACACTTAAAAAAGAAAAAGGAAAAAAAATTAAAAAGTTCTGGCTGACTTTTTTGTGTTTTTTTTAAATGGAAAAAAAATCTAATTTTTTGTTACAAATAAAATAAGTGGCAATATTTTTTTCTGTAATTTTTCATAGGAAAAAAGTGTGATTTGTAAAACCAATTGTACAGTTCTGAAGTTTGAAATACACAAAATCGCCGTACTGCGTGGCACGCTGTCAATGGGGGAGGGAGGGGAAGGGAGAGATTATTTTCCGTACAGTACAGTGTATTTGGGGAGAAATCTTTTAATTCGGGTTGATTTAGGAAGAGCTATAGTTCCCTGTCAGGGTTTGAAATTTCTTTTTTTTTTCTTGTATAGAATGCTGCATTTAACTAAATAAAAGCCGAAAGCATCACTTGACTGAGTTGAGTGTTTCCATATGTATTTGCTTTTTAAAAACCGTAACGGTTCTTGCATGGTGCTGCTGCTGTTGCAAGTGTCAAGACGTTCTTCATATATTTTCAGTAATCCTTAACAGAAGCCCACAAGGTAAAGAACAGTTTTATCCCCACATTGCTGACGTGGGGGGGCGGGGCGGGTTTTGAAGTGTTTGGTTTGATGCTGTGAGAATAACGGTGTGCTTAACGGTGAAATTAGATGCAACGTTGGCTACTTAATGAGCATTCATTCTGATTTGCTTGCAGGATGATGTATTAGAGCAGGCTTCCTCAACCTCGGCCCTCCAGATGTTTTGAGACTACAGTTCCCATCATCCCTGACCACTGGTCCTGCTAGCTAGGGATCATGGGAGTTGTAGGCCAAAAACATCTGGAGGGCCAAGGTTGAGGAAGCTTGTGTTAGAGCATGGCCCATCTCCCACTTTCCTTGCTGCAATCTTTCCGGGAAAAGGCCATGCTACAAAAAAGCGCCCCACCAGCTGCAGCCAGGATTGGCCCATCAGTGATTTAATCCCACCTAAAAGTTGCGGCGCTGTGGGTTAAACCACAGAGCCTAGGACTTGCCGATCAGAAGGTCAGTGGTTCAAATCCCCGCGACGGGGTGAGCTCCCATTGCTCGGTCCCTGCTCCTGCCAACCTAGCAGTTTGAGAGCACATCAAAGTGCAAGTAGATAAATAGGTACCGCTCCGGCGGGAAGCTAAACGGCGTTTCCGTGCGCTGCTCTGGTTCGCCAGAAGCTGCTTAGTCATGCTGGCCACATGACCCGGAAGCCGTACTCCGGCTCCCTCGGCCAATAAAGCGAGATGAGCGCCGCAACCCCAGAGTCGGTCACGACTGGACCCAATGGTCAGGGGTCCCTTTACCTTTTTTAAAGTTGCAAAGAGACTTGGAAGTGCCCAAAGTCAACCTGGATGTGCAATCAGAGCAGCGGGCCACTTTCTGAGGGGCTTCTGGTGCCTTTGGTTGTGGCAGGTTGAGCTAATACATCACAGCCCTAGGATGTTATGG